TGTACCTAGAAGTAGAATTGCTGGGTCATATAGTAGTTCTACTTTTTTTTTTTTTTTTTTTGAGGAAACTCCATACTATTTTCCATAGTTGCTGCACCATTTTAAGTTTCTACCAAGAGTATACATGGGTTCCAGTTTCTCCAGAACCATACCAACACCATTTATCTTTTGTGTTTTGATAATAATTATTCTACTAGGTGTGAGGTGACGTCTAAATGTAGTTTTGAGGGCACCTGGGTGTCTCAGTGGCTTAAGCATAAGACTCTTGATTTTGGGTCAGGTTATGATCTCATGGTTTGTGAGACCAAGTCCCTCATCAGGCTCTGAGCTGATCTTTAGATTCTCTCTCTGCCTCTTTCTCTCTGTCCTTACCGCACTTGCACTCTTTCTAACTAACTAACTAACTAAATAAATAAATAAATAAATATATGTTTGAATTGCATTTCCCCATTTCCCTGATAACTAATGATGTTGAGCATCTTTTATGTAATTGTTGGCTATTTATATGTCTTCTCTGGAGAAATTTCTGCTTAAATGCTTTGCTAGTTTTTTAATTGCCTTTTTTTTTCCTATTGACTTGTAGAAGTTTCTTATATATTTTGGAAATTAACCTTTTATTAGATCTATGGTTTGGAAGTGTTTCCCCCCATTCTGTAGGTTACCTTTTCATTCTGTTGATTGTCTGCTATGCTGTGCAGAAGATTTTTAGTTTGATGTAGCCCTACCCATTTGATGCTTGTGCTTTTGATGTCATATCCAAGAAGTAATTGCTAAGCTGATATCAAGATTTTCTGTATTCACCTTTATTTCTTTAAGGAATTTTACATTCTTGAGACTTACATTTACATTGTTGACTCATTTTGAGTTGATTTTTGTGTATACTATAATGTAGAGGTCCAATTTATTTATTAATTTATTTTGGATGCATATATATAGTTTTCCTAATACCATTTGGTAAAGAAACTGTTTACTTTTGGCACCTTTATCACAGGTCAGCTGACCTTATATGCATAGGTTTAATTCTGGGCTCCCTATTCTGTTTCATTGGTCTATATGTCTATTTTTATGCTGGTACCATACTGTTTCAATTACCGTAGCCATGTAATATATTTTGGAATCAGGAAGTTTGATGCTTCTTGCTTTGTTTTTTTCTCAATTGCTTCATCAATTCTGTGTCATTTGTAGTTCCCTAGTCTAAGAGATTTGTTCTATTTCTGTGAAAAAAAATGCTAATAGAATTGTGATTGAAATGGCATAGCATTGACCTGCAGATTGCTTTAAGTAGATTTTTCGAGTATGATGTTAGCTATGGGCTTGTCATTATGACCTTTATTAAACTGAGGTACCATCATTCTATCATTCTGTCATTCTAGACACACACACACACACACACACACACACACACACACGTGTGTGTAGTGGAATATCACACAGACTTTTGAAAAAGAATAGGGGCACCTGGGTGGCTCAGTCAGTTAAGTATCCAAGTTCGGCTCAGTTCATGATCTCACGGTTCGTGAGTTCAAGCCCTGCATCAGGATCTGTGCTGACAGCTCAGAGACTGGAGCCTGCTTCAGATTCTGTGTCTCCCTTTCTCTCTTCCCCTCCTCTGCCCATGCTCGCTCACTCGCTCTCTCTGTCTCTGTCTCTGTCTCTCTCCAAAATAAATAAAACATATTTTTTTTTAAAGAAGAGAGTCCACCATGTGTGACATGGGTGAACCTACAGAACATTATCTAAAATAAGTCACAGAAGGACAAATACTACATGATTCCACTTATACAAGGTATCTAAAATAGTCAAACTCATGGAAGCATAGAATTGTATAGTGATTGTCAAGGGCAGGGGACTGAAGGAAATGAGAAGTTGTTTTTCGATGGGCATAAAATTTCAGTTATGCTGGATGAATAAATTGTAGAGATCTTCCACACCACAGAGTAACTATACTTTACAATATAGTGTTGTGCACCTCAAAATAGGTTAACAGGGTAGATCTCATGTTCAGCCTTTTTACCACAAAAGCAAAATAAAACAGAAGCAAAAGACACAAGAAAATTAATAACTTGATTTTGGTGAAGCTACTGCCAGTGTTTTGTGTATTTATACCCATGAAACTGTACATATTAAATATGTTCAGGTCTTTGTATACCAACTGTACCTCAATGAAGCTGTGTTGTTGAATTTTTCTTTCAAGAGCCTCACCATAATTATCGTCCTGGAATTTTATAGTATTTTTTATGTACCTGGCTATTTATACAGTCCTTAGAAGTTCTAAAAAATATTCTAAACATCTTCTGGCTTCTGTATAAATCTTACCTGTCAGCTATTTTCTAGTTATTAGGAGACAATTTGAATACTATTTACAATTCACAAACTCTCAACTATATGAAAAAATAAATATTGAAATATTAATCTTAATACACTCTATTTTGCCTAATGGAGCATCGCGAATGGGGAAGAGGTACGATGCTTGCAATGCTTAGAATGTATCAACAAATATCAGGCCTTCCTCTGAACATGATGATCTTCTTCCAGGGATATCCTTCCCCTTATAAGACACAGCCTAAATGTTTCCTGGAATGTGAGTCTTTTATGACTAATTTATACAATTTTTTGTAACTTTCTTTGTAAAAACAACCTGCTTTGCAATAACACTAGCATAATAATTTTATGATTGGTTTATTTATTTCTGTGAACTAAGACTTCTTTTGTTTATAAGTTTTTATCCCAGTTTTAATTGGGTGAGAGTCCTTTGGGAGGCTTACAGAATTGTGGTAGGTTAAGCCATTATTTAGAGACCTTAGCAACCCGGAACTTGACTTCCTAGCTTTTCTACCGTAGAAACAAAAAAAAAGGTAGGAGATATGTTTGACTTTTTTTTATCTAATTTTTTTTAAATTTTTTTTTCAACTTTTTAAATTTATTTTTGGGACAGAGAGAGACAGAGCATGAACGGGGGAGGGGCAGAGAGAGAAGGAGACACAGAATCGGAAGCAGGCTCCAGGCTCCAAGCCATCAGCCCAGAGCCTGACGCGGGGCTCGAACTCATGGACCGCGAGATCGTGACCTGGCTGAAGTCGGACGCTTAACCAACTGCGCCACCCAGGCGCCCCTTATCTAATTTTTTAATAGAATAGTGTTCTATTTTATGTAACTGCCTAGGAACATTATGGTGTTTACAGAGATTCTGAAAATGTTTATACCTTCTTTCTGATACTGAATTTTACCCTGAGATTAGGTACTTCAACATGAATTTTGGAAACATGACTATTGTCAGGAACCCCTTCCAACATTTCATACCTTTGCCACCAAAAAGAAACTAAAGGTCTCTCCTCATTCCAGTTCTCACATTTTATGGAATGTTCCCTGTTTGAATCATTGTGACTCAACTGCCAACCTTTCACAAATCAACTGCAAGCAGAAAGGTGAAGTCCTGTAAGAATTTGGGCCTCACGCTCTTTGCAGGTCAATTAAATATGTCAGGAGGGATAGAGTGTTCTGCAATATGACAGATCCTGATAAAACCACATGATTAAGGTCAGAAGATCATGTGTTTCATAGAGGACGGTGGTCTATCCAGGAAATGTTAAGTTGGTGAGGACTATTGAACTAAAAAATAATGTCAGGTAGCATCTCAAATGTTTATAGAAGAGAACTGGGAAAAAATCTTTGTTGAATTTTGAATAAACAGACACATATATCAAATAGAACTTTAATACAAACAATTGTATCTTTAGAAACATATTAGATCACTCCACACATTTACCAGATATGTTAACTTAAAAAAATATTATCATACCATAACTAACAAAACATTGGCTTAGGGAAATTATTTTCATATAGGCTCCACATTCTTATCTGTATAGTCTAATTAAATCCATGCCTAATGTTAAATCACCATTAATTTAGTCTTGGTTGAAAGTCTTTTATACAATTATATTTTAATTCAAGGTTTCCATTATTTATATTGTTATTTGAGATTTGCTATAAGAAATAAATTGTTTTAATAGATCTGTTTCTAACTGGTCAGTAAAACAATGGTACTGATGTGGCCATTATGTTTCTTAGTACCTATTTTATAAGTTTCTATAAAGAGAGTTTCTAGGAGCTCTCCCTGAAGGAATTTAGTATCAGGACAAACTCTGACATTTAAAAAAGTTTCTCAGTGTAAATATTTAGTATCAGGACATACTGAAAAAGATATGTCTGCATATTGGATCATGAGATTTATAGAGTCAATAGGGTTTTAATGTTTTTTTGGCTATGGGATATATATGTAAAAATTAATTCAATCACAAATAAGACATCATCCTATGTAGTCATTATGTTTCTCTTTCTCATTCTTTAAGTTAGTCATTATTTTCATTTTGATGACTTTATTTTATTCAAGACTTTATTGTAAAACCACTTTAAATTCTTTTTAGAAACTGATCAGGAATACAGGGTAATTAAGTGCATAAATACATTTACTGTCTCTGTGTCATGGCTTATACATTTCATTAAACTTAAGTGTATTGATCAGAATAATAATCATACTTGCAGGTACATTATATTGTTTCCTCTGTTTTCACTTTGAATTTCAAGTTTTCTAACTCTTATATTTTAATTTTGCATGCTACATGGAAGGAGACATGCTTTGGGGATTTCGTTAATACTTGACTAATTTAGTTTTTGCTCAACATAAGAATGCAAATCTGACCTTCATTATCTTTTATCAGTTGCCTATGAATGTAGAGTTAATAAAATATTTTATAGTAAGATCCCTACAAATTATTTTTATATAGGTTATTTTACATATACTTTAAAATTTATGTAATCTAGTATTTCACTACTAAGCAGTTGGACATTTAAAATCTGAAAACACATCCATTTTCTATATTACTTAATACAATGTTTGTTTGAATATGTGGTCTAACCATTTTAATGCCTTTTTTTCTTTTGAAACTACATTTTTGTGAACCCATTACCATCAGAAAATTTTAATATGAAATATTTTTCAGAGCACTATCAGCTGTATGTTCCTGAGTCAGCTCAAGTTGGGTCAGCTGTTGGGAAAATAAAGGCAAATGATGCAGACACTGGTTCCAATGCTGACATGACCTACTCCATCATTAATGGTGATGGTATTGGGATATTCTCCATCTCCACTGACAAAGAGACCAGAGAAGGGATCCTTTCTTTAAAGAAGGTAAAAAGAGCATACTTTCTCTGATTTAAGCAATTCACCCATTTTTCCATGAATTATCCATAATGGTATGAATAATCCATATTGTCAAGTCATTAGTATGCTAAAATATTTTCTCTTTAAGATGTAATTACATTTTAATTATGGCTCTGTCTGACTTTTTGGATCCTGTCTTAGAAAAATATATATACATGACATATATATGGAAGATCTGATGTAGAATGTACCATGACAACAGGCTTATCGTGAATTCCAGTTCTATTAATGTTCTATTAATGCATACAATATTAATTATTTCATGTTGTACTAAATTATGTAACATTAAGAGATTTTTCTAACTAATGTAAAAATCTTCACCATGTTCGCTAACACTCACTAGGATACAGGGTTTTGTTTGACAGTCATGGATTCATCAAGACAGCTCTAGTGGAACCCTTAACCTTCTCCCTGACTCTTTTTTATTGTAAAGAATTTGTCATTGGACTAAATCTATCTATTGCTTTTTGCTTTTAAGAGTACATTATGTTTTTCTCATTGTAGAAATGAAATGGGACACAGATATTAGCAAAGAAAGATTTAAATATAACTCCTAATGCAGAATGTCTTAGTCTTTAAATATTGAATGATTTCAGCTTGGAAACCTAGTAACATTCAGATCCCTGGGCTTTGCCTTCATATATTTTGATTCAGAAAGGCTGGAGTGCAGATAAGGAATTGGCCTTTTTAACAAGTACTCCAGATGACTCTACCGTAGAATATATTTATAACATAGGTTGACAAACTTTATCCTGACGTGCTACTGGAGATACTGAAGTGAATTAATCTATGTCTGTCTGTCTGTCTGTCTATCATCTATCTATCTTTTTGTCATCTATCTGCATAATTGTGTTTTGTTTATACTTTTCTATTTGAACTATATAAATTTTATTAATTCTCCCAATACATATAATCTTATATTGATTAAAATTAAGGATTAACTTATTTTTTAGATGCTACAAAGGGGTCCACAAAGTAGAATTTTTTTTTTCATTTTATTTATTTTTGAGAGAGAGAGAGAGAGTGAGAGTGAATAAGGGGCAGAGAAAGAGAGGGAGAGAGAATCCCAAGCAGGCTCCATGCTATCAGTCCAGAGCCCAACACAGGGCTTGATCTCATGAACTGTGAGATCATGACCTGAGCCAAGATCAAGAATCAGATGCTTAACCAACTGGGCCACGGAAGCACCCCAGCAAACTGCAATTTAGAGCATGTAAATACTTACAGAACAGTACTCATCACTAGACTATGTAAAATATTGATGTCTTCACCTAAAATGTTTTATCATTTTAATCTTTCTTTCCTGAATTTGTAACCAGGAATGTTATAAAGCATATAAATGAGTACATGATAAAATGAGGATTTTAATTGCAAGTTGAGAGACTGAATGTGTGTTTTCTATGCAGGTGTGTAAAAGGTCAATAGAGACAAGAAACTTAGGATACTAAAGAGAGGATATTGGATTTAAAAAGATGGCTGGGGCAGAGATGACCCTGTGTAGGATCTTGATCAAGGGTAGAAAGAAACAACCCGTGATGGTATGCCTCCATCCCTGAGAAAATCAAACAGGATTTGAAGTAAATGGTTGCAAAGTTTTCAATGATCCAGCTGGTGTGGGGGAGCTGGGGGAGGAGAGCAGTGCTTGCTTTTTGAGCACTAGGTCTTTGTAAAGTAGGAAGTTACAGTATATTTGCAAAAAATGAGGTTGATGGATGGTTTGAATATATGCAGGATCTGAAATACAAGTATATATTATGCAATTAAGAACACTAGGGATTTTACCACCCCGTATCGCCTCAATCAATTTGATGATGTTTGTGAAAAACAAAGTCAAAATAGTTTATGTAGGTATGTGTGCACATATATTTAAATAACATTCTTTATTCAATATCGTGCGCATACACAACAGTTATTTTTCAAGATAAGAATAGTTTCAATTGTACAAATGGTATTGGTAATGATGATATATTCAAAATAATCTTTTCACTTTCTTCCATGAATTAATTTTTTGATGTAGTCTACACTTCTTTCAAGAAGTATTAATGTTTGCGTTTATCTAATTATTTGATCCTTCAGATTATGATTTTGTTTATTATTTTTAATGTTTATTTTATTTTATTTATTGTTTTAATGTTGTATTTATTGAGAGAGCGAGACAGAGCATGAGCATGGGAGGGGCAGAGAGAGGAGGTGACACAGAATTTGAAGCAGGCTTCAGGCTCTGAGCTGTCAGCACAGAGCCCAATGCAGAGCTCGAACCCACCAACTGCGAGATCATGACCTGCGCGGAAGTCTGAAGCCCAACCGCCTGAGCCACCCAGGAGCCCCTTTTTCATGTTTATTTTTGAGAGAGAGGGAGAGAGAGACAGAGTGTGAGTGGGGGAGGGACAGAGAGAGAGGGAGACACAGGATCCGAAGAAGGCTGTAGGGTGTGAGCTGTCAGCACAGAGCCTGATGCAGGGTTCAAACTCAGGAACAGTGAGATCATCACCTGACCTAAAGTCTGGTGCTCAACCGACTGAGCCACCTAGGTGCCCCAGATTAAGATTATTAATCTGAGTTATTTTATTGCTACATACTGCATGTTATAAACAACTGCAATTTGAAAAATAACCTATGTAACCCAGTGTTTTTTAACCTTTAAGAGGTACTCATTCAGGTGGCAGGAAATGGATAAAACAGTCCTTTAAAACAGGTTTTTTATTTAATCTGTAAGGCAGCTCACCTTAGCCAGCAAGGCAGAACAGCTAATCTTCCCAAAGATCAAAATCAGGGCTGCTTTCTAAATCAGTTTGCAGGGCATCTGCTCATTCCTGTCCATATCATCCCTTTATCAGAAAATTGCCAAGTTGAATTCACAGGTCCGTGGTGTGGTACATTGTAAATACACTTTGATAACTTTCATTCATTGTTTAATGGAGCTTGACTGGGTGGAAAGGGGAAAAAAAGATAAGGATGAATGCAAGTTGATGCACTCTTTCCTCTTCCATAAACCTCTGTAGCTAGGGATGTGTGTTCTTAGCAGCCTTTTTCTCAGATTCTCTTCTTGTGGTTTCATATCAATTTGCACTCTGTATGGTACTTGATCCTTTTTTTTTTTTAATTCAAGGATACAACCCTATTTGTTCTGACTTTCAGCAAAAGCCATCTGTGCTATCTTCATAGTGTTCAGTGTGAAAAAAGATTAATATTATTTTATTTAATAAATGATTTGAAGTGGACCATAGAGTATACATAAAAAGTTATAAAAGTATTTTTTTTCAAGTTTAAGTTAATCCTACAAGAAAGAAGTATGAAATATGTTCAAATATAACGATACTAGGTCTATGCCAAATAATCACATTTTTGGTTGTTTAGTGGGATATGTTTAGTGAATTTTTCTTTATTATTCCTTTGCCTTGCATTGACTGATAGAATAAGAATCAGAATGTTCCTTGCCATTAGATTGTAAAATTTGGGGCTCTGAACCATAAAGTGCAGCAAGGAAGACATCCCAACCTATTGCAAATGCCCATAAAGGCAAATGCATCTGCGCACTTTTTTTTTTTTAAGAAGAAATAGATGTCTAATTGTAATGAACTATTTCCAAAATCTGAACATTCTTTAGAGATGAGACTATCAAAAAACTCTTCCAAACTGCTATTTTTATTCTTATAAGGTGCTATCTGGAAAGTACTTCTGTTCAACCAGAAGTTAAAGAGAGGAGTCACATTTCAATTCAGTTAAATCTGTCACTATATTTGAAATGACTTTTGACAGAGGACTGCTTTGGGACAACTTTGTTCTTATATTCATAAATAGGCATGGCCATGAAGTGATAGCTAATAGTTGAAACTACTTTGGATGTGAATTGGCTGTTTTTTACATGTATATTTCTATAATATAATATACTATGTCAGTTGGAAATTGATAATGTGTTGAAACATCCTGATGAGTTAAGCTGTTCATAACATGGACTATTGGTAAGTTACCATATATATGGAAAGTCACACACAATACACATATAGGCTGTATAAAAATATAAATAACATAATATACAATATATATTTATATATATCACAAAATATATGTGTATTTGTTATTTGAAATAAAAATTTCCCATTTATTTTTTTTTCCCATCTTCCAGTGACAGCAAGCAAACATAATATTTATTTGTATCAACATCTTTGAAATTATCCACACTGAATTACTCTCTTCTGTGCAGAGAAATTTACAACAGGAAAGTTTGTACATGTGTTCTAGTGTCCACAGAATGTCTACCTTCCAGGAAAGATCTCTGACAAGGACCATAAACCATGGCATGATAAGAAAACCTAACTGAAGAAATGTTATTCAAATCTGTGCCATTTTTCTTAGGTTTGGGCAAAATATTATCATTTAAGGGGCGCCTGGGTGGCGCAGTCGGTTAAGCGGCCGACTTCAGCCAGGTCACGATATCGCGGTCCGTGAGTTCGAGCCCCGCATCAGGCTCTGGGCGGATGGCTCAGAGCCTGGAGCCTGTTTCCGATTCTGTGTCTCCCTCTCTCTCTGCCCCTCCCCCGTTCATGCTCTGTCTCTCTCTGTCCCAAAAATAAATAAATAAACGTTAAAAAAAAATTTTAAATATTATCATTTAAAATACATTTTTTCATAAGGCAAAATTTAATAATAGTTACTATTTCAGGGATTTAGCCATGTTTTTACATGATTTAAAAAAATAATGTTTATTTATTTTTGAGAGAGAGAAAGTAAGAGCAAGAGAGATAGCAGGGCAGAGAGAGAGGGAGACATAGAATCCAAAGCAAGTTCCAGGCTCTGAGCTGTCAGCATAGAGCCCAACGTGGGGCTTGAACTCATGAACTGTGAGATCATGACCTGAGCAGAAGTCGGATGCTTAACCAACTGAGCCACGCAGGTGCCCCCTTTTTTTGTATGATTGAAGTGATATTTGCATATATTAAAATGCATTCAGATGTCAATTCCATTCT